TGAAGTGGGGCCTCACTGGGGTTTTGATGTGCATTTCCAGGGCAGGCCACTTCACAAGGTCATCCATGGCTCCCTGAGGCCCTTATGTTGATAAGTTTCATCCCCTCAGCTCATGGAGAGTAGGGGATCAGAAGAGGGCTTGTCTCCTCGTGAGGTCAGCTGGGAGCCCTATGGCTTATGGAGATGCACACAGGGGTTGGTGACCTGCACCCAGATCTGCAATTGGCCCACAAGTCTGTGCATCTGCAAGGGGTGACACTGGAACCTCACAGGCTGCATCCAACATCCCTGAGGGCTTGGGAAGGACACTGAGTGTGCCAGGCACACTACCTCTCAAAGCCCACGCTAGCCAGGACCATCATGCCAACTCATGGGCTGGGGCATCCCATGTTAGTGCTGTTAAATAATAAAACTTTAGCTGAGTACATATGAAGGTCTAAATTTAATTTACATCTTCAGGTCTAACAGTGAACCATTAGTTGGATAGTGTCCTATACAGCAAGTAGAAAGGAGCTCCTCCGAGCTGAAGAAAAAGAAAGGTTTTTTTTTAAGAGAAAAAATTTTTATTGTGATATAAAATGCACTTATAAAATGTCCACAGAAGGTATGTACTTCTCTACTGCTATATAAATGTACTGGGAATGCTTCATTCACCTCCCACTGTTACGACACCACCTAAGACACACTCTCAATGTTACACTAAGTGCATCACCAATGTTCAGCAATTGTTGATTTAATATAAAGACTCTATCATCCCATCTATATTCTGGAATGTTTATTTACTTTCATGTAGTGTAGAATTTAAGTATAATTGCACATTGATGGTACAGAAAAACATTCACTGTGAAATTATTTTATACCCTTGGGTTAACATTATTTTTGACTAAAAGTAACAGCTTCAGCTATGGCCTGCAGTGCAGCCCAGGGATCTCAATGTGGTGTGTGTCTACATGTGCACCCATGAACAACTTAAAGTCTATCTTCAGTAAACAAGTGCAACATTGTCAATTATTTTGCATGTTTAAATATTACAGTCTGATTATTTGTAAACAAGCAAAACCTCACACAAATATTCTTAATTCTAGAAAAAAAACCATTAACCCATAATTATACTAATATGCTTTACTTGAACACACATCGAATTTCTGAAAGGTGCATATATTACCTTAGCTAGTAAGGTGTAAAAATGAGCATTTCGTATTTTATACTATGAAATGTGCATTTCTCATATTTGTTTTATGCAGCATAAAGTTTAGATCAAGAAATTTTAAATCCTGGATTCCTACAGTTCATTTAGAAAACTCATCAGTCACAGCTCCTGCAGCAGGTTAACAGATTTAACACGATGAAGTGCTCAGCTCCCTCTAGTTCAAGTATCCAAGAAAAATGAGGTCCAAAACTTCTGTAGGTTGTCCCTGAAAATGCAAGCCTTTAGAATAGAGCTAAAAATGTTTTGAAAAAGATACAGATGGTTTAATCCGTACTAGGTTGACTAAGTACCAAGACTTTCAAAGTCTTCTTAAATCTGAGTATTTGTGAAGAACACAATCGGCCTATAAATACATCATTTTGGAGAGAAATCAATCTTGTTACTTAAAACCTTTTCAACATTGTTTAGTTTTGCTTCTAAATATTAACTTAATATTCAACCTGAATATAAATATTTGGCCCCACACTACTCATAATGAAATAACTACTTTTGAAATGGAAATGTTTTAAAGCACTAGGAAGAGAATGTAGTAAAGATGTTTAAACACTAATGTCATCAGAAATCCTGCAGTACAGAAAATATCTGGTACCCTTAAATTTCAGAGTGAGCTAATCTTCTGAAATATTAATACCATTTAGAATACCAAAAAGTCAAATAGAAAACACTGCTGCAATAAAAGCAGAGCAAGAGTCCACAGTCTCGGTGCCGGCACTGCTCCTCAGAGTTAGCAAACTCTCACCTCCTCCCAGGCACACTAAGTTTTCAGCTTAGAATATAATCTAACCTGGTCCTTAACAAATTTATTAAGTAATATGAATGTTTTAATATCTTTCTCCTTTACAGAAAAAAAATATGCTGTCTCACTAAGAGTGATAAGTGTATCTTACTTTGAGACATTAGACTTTCTGGAATTGGCCCAACTGTATAAAATTTAAAGAATCATGTGAAATTGTGGCATCATCACTCTATGAAAACAGTGCGACAACATAAACATCACTATGTCAAAACCTTTTGTAGCTTTAACTCAAGAATAGAGATCATGAGTCTTCTATAACATCAGTTTTAAAAACACTCAGAAGTGAAAAGTGCTGTTTTTCAAAAAGTACAATTTTTACTCTACTACATGTCAACATGAAATGATTTCAGTTCTCCTGCACTAAAAGCTGGGCTTTTAAAATAATTAGTATCATACTACGCAGCTTTTAATCAGTAGTGGCTTCAGTTTCAGCTGGACACCGAATTAGTCTTCGAATTCCTCTTTTTCCTGCAGGACATTTTGGTTTTGCAAAACTCTGCTTATGAGCATGCTGCTTGGGGTGCACCTCTTCATAAAGGAACTCGGCAGTCAGCTCATCCCCGTTGTCTATCTCGATCTTCCTAATAACATCCGTTTGTAGCTGTCTCTCCATAATCCCCAGCAGCGGGCTCTTGCAGCTGGAGTAGAGCATCCGCTCCCTTATGCTGCACGTGTACCCAGCATTGAATAAATAAAAACTATGGACTCCAGATAGTCCCCTTCATGGGAGTGCTTCTACAGAAAGAAATGGTAATGCGCTGAGTCCTTGGGGATCCGCTTTGGCAAATCTTTTAGTTCTGTATTTGTTGTGTTGGCCAAAATTATGACTTCATTTTTTATATCTATTTCCAATTGCACATGGTTGAGCTGTCTGTTACTCACCAAAGCCTGAAAAGCTTCTTGAGAAATTGAAAATGCTACTCCTTGTAGTGTCTGAGGCTTAGCGTCCACACCCACGTCGGACACCTCATTGATTTTAATCTGTCGTAATTCTTCCTCAGCTGCAGTCAATGGAGCAGGAGAAGACTGTGATAGCAAATATTTTTTATATCCATGTAATGATACATCTTCCTTTACTGTTCCAAATACTTCATCTTTAATGTGGCCGCCTCCAAACTCCTTTTTCAGAATGGCTCTTGTTGCTGCATACAACATTTTCTGACGAACATGAGAATGATCCGGAGACCACGCAATGAATATCCATTCATATCCCTGGGCATTTGGTGGATCTAACCTGAATAACATAAAGCATGGTTGTTTGTCCTCCAACAGGGGTAAAACAAAGGAATCATAATCCTTATCCCAGGAATCTGAAGGCTGACTATATGATCCAATCAGAAGTTTCTTATTTTCAATAGATATCTTCAGAAGTCTGTATTTTCCATTTCTTGCTCTGGCAAAGGTATTTTTAACTTCTTCACTTGCTTTATTGCTTGCTTGAAAAACGTTGAAAACCTGCTTCATCCTTTCAGCCCGATTTCAAGCTTATGATTAACAAAGACGCCTTCCACAATGCATTTCCTGAGCGCTCACACCAGGAACTGCCGCCCTTAGGTTACCCGTCCTGACTCTGGGGGCCCGCGGCTCCCACTGCGGTCGCCCGCGACCTGCGCTCCCCCGGCGCCGCAGAGCTCGGCGGTCCGACCCGGCCGTGCGGCCCTGAGCGCCGCGCCCCGGGCAAAGCTCCGCTTCCTCCGCCGCCGCCCGGGGTCGCGGCCGGGCAGCGGGACCGGGGCCGGCGCGCCCGCCCCGCTCCGACCGGCACCCGGGCCAACGGGCGGCTCCGCGGGCGTCTGCGCGCGGGGCGGGCCCGGGGCTGAGCCCGGAGCCCGCGGCATCGCGGCGGAGCGGAGCCCGGAGCCGGCGGGACCCCGCACGGCCGCCGCCGGGACGAAAGAAAGGTTTTTTAAAGCCAGAAATGGACGGGTGGGGGAGGGCGGTGGAATTAAGGTCATCTCCCTAAGGGGAAAGAAAGGGTCTATCAGGCAAATTATCTCACTAGTGTTGACCACGTAATTCCACAGACCAGGGTGAAGGTCACATTGGGGGGAAGAGAAACTACGATTAGATTACGTATACATCTTGGTTTGCTAACGGGTGTAGCACCAGTGACTCCATTTTGTGCCTGCTGTCTCCATTTTAAGAGTGGGCTCCAGCTGTGTTTTGAGAGGAATCTTCTGCATTCATGGATGTTTTGTTGCCCTTGTCTAGCTTGGATTAATACTTAGTCTATAGGCACAGACCTGATCATCTACGTTTGCCCTCTTACAGCACTAAATTATGTTTTCTACCTTTATCTTGCACCTACCTACCACTTCAGCATTTTATTTAAAAAATAAATAAATAAAATAAGGGAGAAATGTGGGATTCACATATAAATCAAGTATAAAAATCAAATGAATAATCACATCTGACTTGATTGTTTATAGTTCATGATGTGTGATCAAAACCAAAAGTTTCTGTGATATGACTGCCCCTTGCACTGTTCACCATGTAAGAACTTATTCACTACGTAAGAACTTGTTCACCATGTAAGAACTTGTTGGTTATTCTTCAGAAGATTGGAGACTGCTGAGAATTAGGCTTGGGGTTGATTAATGATTGTGCATTGAGTCCCCTTTACAGAATTTTGTTGTTGTTAGCAACCATTTGATCAATAAATATGAGAGATGCCCTCTCAAAAAAAAAAAAAGGGCTCCAGCTGATTTCTAAATGTCTGAGGGCTTTTTTTCCAGACGTCCCACCCACAACCCTGGAAACGGGGAACAGGACAAGGGACATGGGACCTCTTGGCCCTTCTTGCCAGCAGGCCAGAAGTAGCAGGGAAATGACACCCTCTGCAGCAACCCAACTCTCAGGAGTTGTGTGAACACCCCAGCTCCCTCCTGTCCCCAGCCCTCCAGATCATCCTGAAATCTGTGTTCTATGCTGCTCTAAGTCAAGTCCTGTAGAAGTTAGGCTCCACTGCCCACAGTGGAAGCTGGCTGAGCAATCTACTAATACTCTGATTGTGATCAATTCCAATGTGTGGGTTATCTCTCTACACAAAAAATTCTCCATCACCATTTGGGCATCCTACAATTCAACTCAACTCTATCTACCTGGACATAGCATCAGACTCCAATGGTTAAGGGCTCAGTTCCACAAGATTGCCCTCCACTTCAGATGCCAATCAAAAGCCCAAGTTGTCACCTGGGCTTCTAACCTGAGGTTCCCATGACGCCCACCTTGGGTTTCAATAATTTGCTACAGCAGTTCATAGAAGTCAGAGAAACATTTTACTTACTAGATCACAAGTTTATTACAAAAGTACACAACTCAGAAACAGCCAGATGGGGAAGGTGCACAGGGCAAAGTCTGGGGAAAAGTCATGGAGCCTCCATGCCTATCCATGCACACCACTCTTTCCAACTCCAAGTGTTCACAGACCTGGAAGCTCCTGAGCCCTGTACTTTTTAGTTTTTATGGAGGCTTCATTACATAGGCCTGAATGATTAAATCATTGGCCATTGGTGATTGGTCCCAATCTTCAGGCCCTCTCCCCTCCCCTGAGGTCAAGAGTGGGGGGTGAGGGTTGGAAGATAGAAAGTTCCAAGCCAGTAATCACACAGCTGGTTCCCCTGGTAACCAGACATTATCCTCACTAACCTAGGGATCTTCACAAAATCACCTCTTAACACAACAGAACATCCTTAATTAACACCTTCATGCCTTTCATCACTTAGGAAATTCTGAAGTTTGAGTGCCTGGAAAGGAAGAAGGGATGCAAACTTATTAGACATCACAGTGTAACAACTACCCTCCCTCTAGTAATTCTCTACTCCCCAATTATTCTGTGCCTCCCACGCCAACCATTTACACTGCTTCCATGAGAACCAATCCAGACTGACATCTAATGCACCAGGTACTTTATACACATTAATTCATGGAACTGCTTAGAAAAAAAGAAGTAAGACAGCCCTGAGAGTCAGCAAGACAAGGGTCAGAGCAGACACATGCAATGTCATCTTTAAGAGAAAGGAGGCTCCCAGCCTCCAAGGCTACGAGGTCTGTAAACAGATTGAGCTACTTAACCAGCAGAGTGCTTAAAACCCTGAAGGAGTGGGGAAAACAGGCGCAAGCCTGGTTTTGTGGTTCCAGGGGGTGGGGGTTCCAAATTAACTATGAATCTAGTAAGACCAAAGGAAAACAGGGGTGAGAGGTTGGGAAGAGGCTTTTATTTCTCAGGGTTCAGTCTCTCTTCCGGCACACTCTGTCCTCCCTCTCTGGCCGCAAGGCGCTCTTCACCCTCTCTTACTTGGCTCTCCACTTCCCTGCTCCAGCTCTCCCAACTCCAGGGGCAGTTGGAGCCTGCTTCTCTTTCCTCTAGTAGGAACTCCATGGGCGGATCCCTGGTGAATGGTGGCACCTGCCCAATGTACCAAGAGCAGAGGAGAGGAAGGAATGGCTGCTAATTTCTACCCCTTGCTCCCCACCGCAGCCTTGCCTGGTAATATCCCACTGATGTGCAAATAGGCCCTTATATGCATACCACTATCAAGGCCAGGCAGAAATTCTGGTTGAAAACTCCCATTTACCCAACACCTGGGCAGTGCTGGTAGGAGGGAGTCACCTCACTAGACTCAGTGGTGGTCAGTGTCCTGCACCCCTAGTGGCACTTTCCTTGCCTGGAGCATAGATCCTTCAGGACCTGCCAGCTCACACCTTTGTTGCTGGGCAGCTGCCTCTGGGAAGGTAACCTCCCTGTGCACTAGTGAAACCTCAACCTGGATGGGGGGAGGGTTCTTGATTCTGATCCAGAAATTCTCCAACAGGCCACAAGAGTGTAGATAAGGAAGGAATTCATTAAAATGAGAGTAGAGTAAATGGCATCAGCTGTGCAGGTAGCAGAGCGTAAGGAAGAGCAGAGGGAGGAAAGTGAAGCTCATTGAACTGCTCGGCACAGGGCAGATTCCTTGCCCACTCCTGAAGCCAGGGTCACTTGGTGTCCAGTGTCTGCTTGAATCTGCACAGCATGGGGACTGAGACCCTACCACCCCAGGATTTGGGGGAGCCACAGAGCTTTGAGTGGAGTGAGATGATATTCTGAGAACTTCCCAAAGGCAAAGACAGGAGATCTTTGGGCAGACTACTGAAAAGCATAATTTACAGCTGAAGTCCCATCCAGTGATGGGAACTTGCAAGCCTAAGAGTTCTCAGTAGCCCTTCCCTACTTGTCTGAATTAGAACAGAGAGAGAGAGAAGACTAGTGCTTAAGTCTAGAAAACTTAACCAAATAGCGAAGTAACAAAGATGCTCACCACTGGAAGAGTACAAAGGCAAAATACAGTTGAGCAGAGAAGTCTTTATTTAAGGCAAAAAGTACACACTCAAAGAAAGGGGAGTGTAGGCAGCCTCAGAGAGGAGGACTCAGGATTCTGTCTTTTAAGGCTTTCAAGAATGGGACAAAGGCAGTGGGGGACGGGGGTGGTGCAGGCTTGATTTGTGGTCTCATGATGTGTATCTCTGGTGAGAGATATTATGCCACTATTCACAGTCTCTAGATATTCTATAAGATAACACAAGGAATTTCTTGATCCCATTCTTCTCCAAGATAGTAATTACCCTCAAGCACTGGGAACATATCACTTAGAACTGCTTGCCCTGCCTTAAGATAGGGTGACATAGGAATCTTACCTCCTAACTCCCTGACTTTTAAAATGGAATCCTAGCCTTAAGATGGAGTCCCTACTGTTCTTACTATGCTATTTATATCTCATCATAGGCAGGAAAAATTAACCATGATGTTTGCCCCATATCCCTGCTGCCCTACCTCAGTATCACCTTATAGGGCCTTGGGGGGCCCCATCTGCAAGGTTCCTTTAGCAGCAAGTTATAAATTCAGTTCATACAGATCAGTTCAAAAAAGGGAGGAGCTGACACTTAAGGTCTCCCTTCTGGAGCCACGGGTGATGGGCAAGAACTCTGGCTCTCTCACTGTGTAAGTGGCCACCATGAATCTTAGCAGCTTAATAGGGCAACAATCATGTATTCTGCACACAAATCTGCAATTTAGGCAGGGGCTGGCAGGTGTTAAAAAGCAAAATTCAACCAAGTAAATATGTAGATTTAATTGGTTTTATTAAGTAATTCATGAATTGGACAACATCCCCTCTAGCAAATAGAGGGTGCTCCCAAGGGCTAAGGAAAGGCTGAAAAAGCATTTAAAAAAGAGAAAGAAAGAGAGGGAGGGAGGGAGGGAGGGAGGAAGGAAGCAAGAAAAGAAATGCACCGATTAGCAAAGTCTACATGCTCAGACAAGACGGTCCTCCTGAGGGGGAAGGGAAAAGGGGAAAGGTTTCCTAGGGGGCTTACCTCCAGTGAGCTGTTTGGCTGGGAAAGGGTTATATTCCTGAGGGGACTGGCACTGCAATTAGGCTGGGTATTAAAATTCGGTGTGGGGCCCTAACTTTAAAAATTATGGGCCTGAGATTTTTCTTTTTAACACAATAAAGGCTCATTTCTATTCTGAGCCACTCCAGCCCAACCCAGCACTGGAGGACAATTTCCAAGGCAGGGTGCTGGCATCTCTGCTGGCAGTCAGAGTTCCTCTCCACAAGGTCCTGTGCATGGTGGCTGGGCTCTGACAGCATGGGCCGAAAGAGCCTGGCAGAGGCTGTATCTCAGAAGTGTTAAAAAAGAAACACACAGGCTCACCATGGTGTCACTTCTGCAGGGCCAAGTCACCACACCAGGGCCTAATACTTACATCTAATCACAATTTCCACCTCCCCCAGAAATGTAGCCAGTCAGGAATTTTCTGGACAGCACCTGAATTTTGGGTTTCACAGAAGTTAACACAGCACTATTTCCTCTGAGGACTGCCTCACTCATTCTCATCGGCCCCCCCGAGCCCATGGATGGGTCCTACAGCCTCTTCCTGATAGGCAGCAAGGCAACATTCTGGACCAGCATGCAGGATGGAAATACATGTGTGCTCACTTTTGGTTAATCTGCCTCAGTAAGAATGAGAAGGCACTGAGGGCCAAGGCAACCACCCTCTGGGGCACATGAGTGTGTGTGTGTGTGTGTGTGTGTGTGTGTGTGTGTGTGTGTGTGTG